TTATATCTGCATCTCTTTAGAAAGTGGTTATATTAAAACCTTGACTGTTTGCTGATGGCAGAAATCTTCTACCATCACCACAAATGAAAGACAAGGGCATTTATTTTAAAATACTTTAAATAGATGAACTGATCCCAAAGCCTCCCAGACCCCGTTTGGAAGAGGCGCATGTTAATGGCACGTTTATACACTTAGCAAAATCAACTTCAGGAGTCCCAGGCATTGGGAACCAGCACCCACACCAGCTTGTAGACACATGCTGTGCCAAGGGCACAGTGTCCCACTGTGTGGACACCCACTTGCTCACTGTTTTCTTCTGGGTTCCTGGCAGCAGCATCCATGGGGCTGGATGGGCTGCCTGGCAGGACCACTGCCCTGGGCGCCAGACAAAGCTGCTGGAGAGGCTGCCCTTGATGGCTGGTGGGGTTGGGATGACCCCAGCACCCAGGGTAAAGCTGCTGAAGGCCCAGCATGTTTTGGGGGTCCGTGTGGTGCAGGAGAGGTAGGTCCAGTGGGAAGCTCTTCTGTCTAGTCCATCTCCCTCAGCACCTTTGCTTTTCCTTCACCTTCCAGGAAATTCCCCTTCGTCTCAACACAGCAATTTTGGTCTATTGATTTTTTTTTTAAGGTGCATTCTACTCTTACCTTGGGGAGTTAACCACAGGCATCTTGGTTTGGATGAAGGCAGTCTTTCTGTCCATAATTCTCATCACCTTTCATAAATAATTCCATGCTGAGGTGTCTGACTTCACCCTGTACATCTCCATGGGTGGGGTGGCAGCAGCTGCAGTGTGATGTGGGACTGGGGTAAGGGGCCATCACTTACCAGTGTCACTGACTGATGGCACTCATGCAGCTCCCTCCCTCTCCTGCGCCTGCTAGGGCTGCGCTGTGAACTGGGCCAAGCCAAATTACCCATTTTCAGCCTTGGCTTTTCAGCCATCTGCATCCAAGCAGTCAACCTATTGGACAGGTTGGTGCCCCCAGTAAGATGTTGTGGGAGTCACACAAACTCCTTGGGTCTGAAGCTGTAGTGTAACTTGCTGTTTTCCTTGTCACAGATTTCATCTTCCAGAAGGAACTGTTTGCTGCCAGAGACACAGGTGAGCTGAGCAGGCCATGGCACAGGCTTTGTGGATTAACCCCCCTCTTGGGGAATGCTTTGGGGAGCTCAGCAGGACATACCTGAGGCATACCATAAACCTGCTCTCATCTCTGAGGCAGGGCACTGGCTCCATGCCATGCTGTTCTAGCAGGAAGTGCTGTGTGTGCGTCGCTGCTGGGCTCTGCAGCCCCGTTCCCCCAGAAGACCTCTGGTCTCTGCATGCCTCTCCGGGGCACATGAGGTCTGTGCTCCTGCCAGGGTGCAGTTTCTGGCCCTGCAAAAAAGGACCATCTCACCCTGGCCAAAGGGCTGTCCCTAGATCTGACCCTGCTTCTCTCTCTGCAGCCTCTGTGCCTCCTCTACTGCTAAAAAAGGGACACAAAAACTGCCTCCAGAGAACTTCTGGGGGAAGGCTGTAGTGGCAGAGAAAGACCAGGAATGCCATGAGATTTCTGAGCACTAGCCAAGAGCAATGATGGCCTGGGAAACTGAGGAGGCAGCAAATGCTGCCAGCGCAGGCCGGCAAGTCTGATATTCTCCCTTTCTTTCCCCGTTCCCCTTGCAGACTCCATGCACAACCTTTCTGCTCAGCCCTGGCAGGCAAAGATGGCCAACCTGACCTATGACAACTTCACCCTGGGCAACCACTCCGAGGTGGCCATCCAACCTCCCACCAACTACAAGACAGTGGAACTGGTTTTCATTGCCACAGTCACTGGCTCGCTCAGCCTTGTCACCGTGGTGGGGAACATCCTGGTGATGCTCTCCATCAAGGTGAACCGACAGCTCCAGACCGTCAACAACTACTTCCTCTTCAGCCTGGCCTGCGCAGACCTTATCATCGGGGTCTTCTCCATGAACCTCTACACTGTCTACATCATCAAAGGCTACTGGCCGCTGGGGGCCGTGGTGTGTGACCTGTGGCTGGCTCTGGACTATGTGGTGAGCAATGCCTCTGTCATGAACCTGCTCATCATCAGCTTTGACCGGTACTTCTGTGTCACCAAGCCCCTGACGTACCCTGCCAGGAGGACCACCAAGATGGCAGGGCTGATGATTGCAGCTGCATGGATATTGTCCTTCGTTCTCTGGGCCCCTGCCATCTTGTTCTGGCAGTTCATTGTGGGCAAGAGGACAGTCCCTGAGAGGGAATGCTACATCCAGTTCCTCTCCAACCCAGCAGTGACCTTTGGCACGGCCATTGCTGCTTTCTACCTTCCTGTAGTCATCATGACAGTGCTGTACATCCACATCTCCCTGGCCAGCAGAAGCAGGGTGAGGAGACATAAGCCTGAAAGCAGGAAAGAGAGGAAAACCAAGTCCCTCAGGTTCCTCAAGGGCCCCCTGGTCAAACAGAACAATAATAACTCTCCCAAGAGGGCTGTGGAGGTGAAGGAGGAGGTGAGGAATGGGAAAGTGGATGACCAGCCATCAGCACAGACAGAGGCCACTGGCCATCAGGAAGAGAAGGAGACATCTAATGAGTCCAGCACTGTCAGTATGACCCAGACTACAAAAGACAAGCCTACAGCAGAAATCTTGCCAGTGGGGCAAGGACAGAGCCCGTCCCACCCGCGGGTGAACCCAACTTCCAAGTGGTCCAAGATCAAGATTGTCACCAAGCAGACTGGGAGTGAATGTGTCACCGCCATTGAGATCGTCCCAGCTAAGGCTGGAGCCTCTAACCACAACTCCCTGGCCAACAGCCGCCCAGCCAATGTTGCCAGGAAGTTTGCTAGCATTGCCAGAAGCCAAGTACGGAAGAAGCGCCAGATGGCAGCCCGAGAGAAGAAAGTCACCCGCACCATATTTGCTATCCTGCTAGCCTTCATATTCACATGGACTCCATACAACGTGATGGTCCTCATTAACACCTTCTGTGAGACCTGTGTACCTGAAACAGTGTGGTACATTGGCTACTGGCTCTGCTATGTCAACAGCACCATCAACCCAGCCTGCTATGCCCTCTGCAATGCCACTTTCAAGAAAACCTTCAAGCACCTTCTCATGTGCCAGTACAGGAACATTGGCACAGCCAGATAAACTGGCACTCAGGGACCACTTCAGTAACATTATGGAAGCCCTTCCCTTTGCCTCCTTTGCCAGCAGGGGTTCCTCTGCTCCCCACTCACAACAGTGCAGACTGTGCAGTGATTGCAGATGATGCCCTTCATCTAATGCTGACAAAGATCCAAGGCACCTCTGAGCTGCAAGTCCTTCCAGGGCCTGGGGACTAGTGTGGGGAGCCAGCAGGAAAGTCAGAGGCAAGAGGAGGAGATGTGGTCACCAGGAGCCCTCCCCAGCTCCATGCTCTTGAGATTGGCCAAATGACATCAGCATTTCTCCTAAGACTGGATGCAACTTCTCCCCTGGCTGACTGTCTCCAGGGCATCAGAGCTTGTCTGCATGCAGATGGGCTAATGCTGGATGCTTTCAATGGGCTTTTAAAGTGTTTATTACCCAAGAAATGAAAAGAAACCAGGGCCAAACATTTGCTAGACATCTTGTACCAGGCTAGTTCAGACATGCTAATGGGGAGCCCTACTGGCCCAGCCAGGCCCCCTCCCAAGGCAGGCAAGATTGCACCCTAACGTATGGCAAGCTCCTTCCTTTTTCCTGAGAGTGCCATCGGGCATCCTTATGCAGGGACCCAGGGCAGAATTTTTCCCTGGACTTTGACTCCACTGTCCTCTTCATGCCCTTTCTGCCTTTAGCCAGCAAATGCCTGGAGAAACAAGCCAAGTATCTCACTCCTGGATGAGGAGTGTGAAGTTCAGTCACCTCCTGTGGTGATGGAAACTAAAACTGCAAAGAAAGCAGTGGTGTGGTGCTGAAGTTAGCTCCACAGCCTGGGGAATGTGGCCCCTGAGAAGTGGGCAGCAGTGACTGTGAAATTAACTGTCCTTGGGTGGGACAGGTGGGACCTGGGGGCCTTGGAGGCAAGTGGGAAGAGAGTTTACAATGTGGCCGAGTTGCCCTGTGTTTCATCTGGACCATGAGCAGGTCCCCAGTCTCCCCATGCTGGGTGTGGGAGGCCTGGTGCATGGCTCTGGAGGCGGGAGAGGCCCTCTCCTGCCCCGGATGCAGCAGGATGCTCCAGGGAGGCTGAAGGAGCCAGTTGCTGAGCTTTGTAAATGGATGTAATGCTGTCGTGGGTGTTGTGGCAGAGCCCTCAGCATGCGGGCTTCAGCCAGCGTCCCAGCCTCCGCCCAGCCCCGCTGTGTGTGCAACCCAGGCCATCCCAGGACTGCTGCTCAGCTTCTTCCAAAGCCAGGTTTCTGGAAGCATTGGTGGACACAGCCAGGTGTAGACAAGGAATGGGACAGGGTCACTCTAGCACTGGCAAATTTTGTGTCCATATTTCTTTCCCATCCTCACACCAGGATGATGCTGTGTAACCTGGAGAAAGGCTGCCCCAATCCAGATGGAAACCCCTCCACCACTGCCTTTAGGATAATTCACACAGGTGTGCCCAAAATGCCTGGTGGGCTTCTGGGTATATTCAAATGGTTACAACTGTGGCCCAACCCATCCCATCCCATCCCAAGACAAATAAAGACCTTGGATCAGAAAACAACAGCCACAGTGTGAGGAGTAAATGAGTCATCACCTGGGTGGTCCTTCCCAACTTCCCAGTGTCAACTACCGGTGACATTTCCTGCAGTGTGGGTGGCAGCTCCATCCCTTCTGCCGAGGTTAAGGTGGGGCAGCCTGAAGAGCTGCTGAGAAGAGGCTGTGAGGTCTGACCCATGTGTTTTCTCCAGGACCATGCTCATGTGGCACCCAGGCAGCCACCGCCAGTTGCACAGTAACTTCACTGGTGGTCCTGGTGTGGCCAGCAAAGCTGGGGTTTTCTGGGGTTTCCAGCACAGCATCACTTCATGGGGTCAACAGGTTGGTTCTGATACTTTTTAAAAAAAGATTTTTATTGGAAAAGAAAACAAACCCCATTTCCAAAAGGAGTGAGAGCTCCCACCCAGCACCAGTGTTGGTGTGGCAAAGGCAGAGGGGCTGCAGCCCCAGTGTGAACACACATGGTTAGAAGGGATAGAAGAGAGGAGACACAGTGGTTCCTGGGGGTGATGGTTGTGTTTACCTCAGCTGCAGGTGCCCTGAGCCAAAGGGATGCTAGAATAAGCCTCCCGAGCTGAGAGCAGTCCTCAAGTGAGTAAGGGGCAGGAGTAATGGAGTTACTCTGGCATTCAACACCCACCCCTTCCCTCTGTCACCGGTAGCTGGTGGAGGAACAATAAGGCTCCTGGACTTGCCAAAGGATGTGCTAAAGGCAACTCATTTGTGCTGGAGGGTGGAAAAAGGTGTGTTCCCATCCCAGCTCTCTGGGCACATCCCAGCGAACCCCAACACGAGCCGAGAGGAGATGAGTGAGAGGCATTGGCAGTGGCAGTGGGGTAGCAAGGACGGAAGCAGCCTCTCCTGCAGGGTGGTGGGTGGATGGGTTTGCTCTCTACAACACTAATGATTAAAACAAGGCATTTCAGTGAAACAGGAGGTTATGGAAAGGAGGAAGGAGAGGAGAAGGAAGACTGTAGCATGGGCCAGCTGCAGCTGGGCATCCAGTCCTGTAGGCACAATGTTTAGGGCCCGATGAAGATGATGGCTTCCTGTTCTAGTCCTTCCCCTTGCCCTTCTTTGCTGCATTCGAGAAGCACAGGAGACAAGAGTTAGTGTATCTGCTGGAAGTCACCGGTCCCCCAGGCACAGCTGTGGTAGAAATGTAGCCAGCACAGTCAGCATGGCACAGTACAGTCAGCATGGCACAGCACAGCGGCTACATCCTGGCAGGAGGCCACCCACCATGTAAAACCATGTTTTTCACCACTCCCAGGGAGGAGAGCAGGGGATCCCCATCCCACCGAAACTGGCAGTGACTTGCGGGGGGACCAGGGTTTTTCCTAGCAGCACTTGCATCCCACCCAGCCAGCAGCTGCACTTCGGGGTTGTCACATGTGCAGCTGCAAAGGAAAGAACAACCTATGTAATCCCCCGCACCACCAGCAAAGCTCAACTCCAATGGGCCAAGATACCTGTGAAAAACCCTTGCCTAGGGTCCCAGCAGGACCCTTCTAGGGACAGGAGTAGTAAGAACCGACCTTTGGACTTTGACTTGATCTTGGAAGAGCAGGGCTTGGTCACAGAGACGATCTCCTCACACTGGGCATTGTACAGGGCTTTCTTCAGGATGCCTGAGCGAGTCTTCAAGCCTGTCTGAGCACTACACCCTCCCCAGCTCTCAAACTTGTACTTGCAGTCAGCTGGATGAGAGGGGACAGGCATCAGAGCTATTTAGGACCTGATGTGGGCACCAGCCACCATCACCCACCCCAGCATGGTCCCCAGCCACCCTACCTCCACGTACCCACCTCCAAATTTCTTCTTCCAGTTGCAGGGGATCTTGCACTTGAGCTTCTTGCTCTCATCTTTGCAAGTTCCCTCACGGTAGCCCAGGCCACAGTCCTTACTGTTGGGAACACAAGGTCCCCAGCGCCAATCCTCACACTTGGAGCCATCCTTCTTTGCCTTCTCTGTGAGGAAAAGAGGAGTGGGTGCTCTCTGCAAGGACAGAAGAGCACGCTCCAGGCTGCCCCCACCCGACTGGCTCCCTGCCCCGGGCTGTCCCCTCACCTTTCTTGGTTTTGCCAGCCTCGGTGGTGGCAGCCAGCAGGATCAGTACCAGGAGAAGGAGGAGGCCCCGAACCTGCATCCTGCCTGGGAAGGAGGGAGAGGGTGAGGTGGGTGGGAGGTTGGGGTGCAATGTGGTGTTGAGCAGAGGGCACAGTGGGCTGTGGGCAGCCTGTGTGGGGGTAAGACAGCAGCTGCCTCCATTGCACACACACCCCTCTACATGTGTGTGTACACCCCTGTGCCCTGCTCATTGCCACTTGTTAGAATATGTGCATTAATTGCAACAGGAAGGTTGATTGTGTAGCTCAGTAAGTGCCTCCCATCAGAGAGCTAGAGGGCTGTGAGCACCCAGCAGGCTGTCCAGGGCCAGGGGGCACAGCTCCCATAACACCTTTCTCCAGTTCCAGAGGATGCCAGGGGGAAAAGAAAAAAGCCTGGGAAAAACAAACTTGCTGCCAGGCAGGGTCTGAGAGTTAAACCAATGGATTAAACACCAAAAAAAGCAGTGTGGGAGCTTGTTGGAGGGATGGAGTGGGAGTGCTGAGCCCACTGCTGGTGCCACCTATGCATGCAGGGGGGTGCACAGGTGTGCATGCACTTGGGAGCATGTTGGAGACAAGGGTGCACACACTTAAGGGTTTGACTCCTGGGACCCTGCCCCCAACCCCCTGCCCTGGTGGCCTTGGAACAGTTCCTCTCCAGCTGCCACCATGAGACTCTGTGGGATGCTGCTGGCAACACTGGCGTCCCAGCTTGTGCATATGTGCAGAGCTGGCATCCCCTTCCCTGCTCCACCAAAGTCCTTTAGGATGCCACCCATATCTGTGAGGCAGCAGCCAGCCAGAAAATAAATCACACCTGCCCTGGCTCTACAATGGGCTTGATGTGCTTGGCAGGACTGGGCTGTAGAGGACAGGGTGAACTGCAGGCCCAAGAGGACATCAATGCAGGGAAGAACCTGGGGTCAGTGTTTGCTCCCTGCCCCGAGGCTCCCCGGGCAGTGTGCCAGAGAGAGCAGCATCCCACATTATTCAGGCTCCAGTGCACTCACCTTTCATGCATCCGCTGCCAAGCTGCCGGCTTCGCTCTGCATTGAACTGTCACAGGGAATTACACAGACTGGCTGGCTGAGGGCACAGTCACAAGGGTGAGATCTGCCTTCCCCCTCACCCAGCCGGGCTGAGAGCCATCCTGCCTGCCGAGCACAGCTTGGCTCAGCTCTGTTCCCACCCACCTGCCTTCAAAGAGGACAAGAGCTCAGCCCAGATGGGCTGGTTATAGATGAGCTGAGCTGAGTTACAGGCACAGCTGTCCTGCTTTCTGCAGCAGCTCTTATAGGGCAGCACCTCTGACATCTGCACATATTCACAGCATCTCTCTGGTTTCAGGTTCTCTGTAAACTTCTTCCATACTTGGCTGCAGAGCATTTCCCTGTGCTCCTTGCACCTACTTCCTAGCCCAGTGCCTTCTGCTCTGGCCCTTCAGACAAGGCCTTTAAGCCCCCAGGGCAGATAGCCCTAGCTGCCATGCTCACCCCTGCCTCCTTTCCAGGCATGGACACCGTCTGCTCCCTCTGGGTGCTGTGGGGCCCTGCCCATGTGTGCAGAGGGATGTGAGAAAGGGCACTCTGAGGGCAGACCAGCTACAGCCACTGGATCTGCTTCCAGGCTCTGCCTGGCACATCACATCTTCCAGGCAAAAGTCTGCTGAGATCTTCAGTCATGGCTCATCCTAATGCATTCACAAGGGAAAGCGAGTGCAGTTTTCCAAATTGGTTTTCCTGATCCCTTCTGAACACTACGCAGGGTCAGGTAGTGCCACTGGCTTCTCCTAATGCAGGCCACACCCCCTCCTCAGCTCCTCTCCCCTCACTACTGCCCCGATGCACTCCAGGTAGCATAGCAGCTGCTGGGCTTGCAAGACCCCTTGCAGTCCCTCTTTCAGCAGTGGGACCTCTTGGCTGGGCTCAAATTGCAGATGGCTCTGGCAGAGGTGGGCATGGGACTGTGGTCCTGCGTCCGCAGGCTGAGCTGCTCTGGGAGCCCAGCACTTGGGAATCCCAGCACTCTGGGAGCCTGTGGCCTGGAGTGCCAAGCACACAGAAAGCATCAAGCTCCCTGCTGCCAGGAAAGGGGAGACTGAGCTTCTCCTCATGAGCCAAGGCCTTAGCGTGATCAGGAGGTTCTGCTGTAGGTGCTGAGGGGAGCAGAACCGGGGGGGCTCTGGGGTTTTCCAGCAGGCGGCCTCACCTTCAGCTCGCAGGAGGAGAAGGTGCTCCAGGGAGAAAATGTTCTGCCCGTGCACTAGGGGCAGAGAGGGGAGCACCTCTGCTCTTTGCTCCCACACTAGAGTAGATACTGTGCGTGGCCCCAGCAGAGCCCTTTCCCCTCGGTCCCCGGAGAGGCTGGCGGTGGCCGAGCCCCGCTCCGGGGCAGCTCCCCAGGCTCCAGTCGGTGCATCTCCCACCAACTGAGCTCTCCCCGAGAGACAGTGGGGTGCTTCCCAAGGGGACTGGGGCTAAGACACCAGGCCACTGCCTCAACCCGTCTGCTCTCCAGGTGCCCTGAGTCCCTCCTAAACTCCATCCTTCTGCATCTCCGGGCTCTTTCCCAGCTCTCGCAGGCGATCCCGCACCCCAGGGTACGCCGCCCCCGGCACCCCTGCCCCAATCGCCCGTTTCTGCAGCTCCTCACCAGGCAGGGCCATGTCCCCCACCAAGGCAAAGCCCCTTCCCCCTGCGGGGAACCCTCAGCCTGGATTACTGCCGCCTCGCTGGGGAGGTGAGGAGGAAGTCGCCTCTCGCCTCGCCGGAGTCGCCCATCTCCGCGGCGTCGGGCGGGCAGTGCCGCCGTCCACGGGGGCTTGGGGTGGGGGCCAGACCCCGAGTGCTGGGGGTGGGGGACCACACTCACCTGCGGTGCGGAGCGGAGCAGCGCGGTGCGGAGCTGCTGCCTTTGTGTGGCGGCCGCGTGCGGATCCCTGCGCAGCGCACAGCGGCCCCTGACGTCGGGCTCGGCTGGCAGCAAAAAGGTGGGTTTTTAGCCCAAAACTTTTCTCAAGCTCCTCCTCTGCCCCCTTAGCCCCCCCGGCAGGCAGAAAGGCAGGGCGGCGGAGGGGGCAGGCTGGCCCCTCGGCCGGCGGGGAGGGGGGAACGCGGGCAGGCGGTGGCTCGCTGGTCTGGGGGGTGTGCTGGGCCCGGGGGCGTCAGGTCCCGCGGGGCACGGCCCCTGCCCCCTGCCCGATCTCACCTTAACGCAGTGCTCTCCCACTCGCAGCCACTGCGCGGTACCAGGGAAGCTGTGAGAGTTCAGCTTAATACGCACCCCAGTATCACTGAGTGGCCGAAGGGGTGCACAGCTGAACAGCCGGTCAGGGTCTCTTCTGGGGGCTGCCGCTCTGAGACACGCTGGAAGGTGGTCCTGGGGCCTCGATGGAGTGAAGGGAACCACACCGTGTTTCTGTCAGCTCCGTAGATGCCTCTTTCCCCATCAAGGCCACTGGCATCGATGGACCGACCTTTCATGGTCTCTCCCTGCTTGCTCTGCCCCTCGTGGGAGGGCACTGGGGGGGGGAGGTAGTTGCTCAGTACCCAAAGCAGCACATCACTAACATGCTGGCCCAAGCATCTCTCCAGACCACCCCTTGTGACCTGCCTGCAGGTCCCCAGCTCAGCCATGCTGCAGCCCTTCTCCTTGGACCAAGTTGCAGTATCAGACTGCTGGTGGGGGATGAAAAGGACCTTGCAGACATGACTGCTCCCTTCCCCACATCTGCCCCCTTTTCTTAGGAGGTGAGCTGAGGCAGGGGCCAAGCCAATTCTCCTCTGGAGTTAGCAGTCAGAAAGGTGAGTGTCATGCCAGAAGAATCGGGCTGTGGTGGGGAATGGAGCCATCCTTATTCTGGAAGAAGGTTGCTGAAAGCAGGACCGGCACAGGTGGGGTTGCAGGGCAGGAGGGGCCGGTTTTTATGAGCTGCTTTGAAACCAGCTCTCTTCTCGAGAGATCAGTGCATTTAACTCACACTCTGCCAGCAGCTTCCTGAACATCTGCATAGGTTTTGAGGAGGCTGGCAAATGTGGGAACATGGAATCTCCCCTGCCTGCTGCATACACAGCAACAGGTACTGCTCTGGGTGGTGAGGGGTCTGGACATGCTAGGCTGTACGTTTGAGTCCAGGATGCAGAAATGGATCCTGACAGCTGGGCAGGTAGCAAGGCCAACAGCCTCCCCCAATTGCTGGGCCTTCAAACTAAAGCTGAAGAAAGCTGCCAAGAAAAGCTTCACTGTAAAAAAGATGGGGAAGGACCTAGGTGTGCATCACGTTTGCAAGTCTGAGTTATGGGACTGTGATGAGCAAACCAGGGCCTGGTAGAAACCTTAAAGAACTAGGTGTGGAGTAGGCAATGCTGCTTTTCTTCAGCTGTGTCTGGCCAGGAGCTGGAGATCTTGCTGGCGTCCTCAGGGCAGAGCAGCATAAGGTATGGTGAAATCCTGTGCAAACTTTCACTCCTTCCATTTCCAGCCATTCCCAATTCCCTCCTGTTGCCTTCTTGGGCTGGAGACCAGGAGACACATGCTAGCCATGCAGGAGAGCAGGGATGCATTGGTGCACATCAGTCTCAGCAGTGCCTGTGCTTGATCCCTTTGGGCCCTTTCTGAGGGACGTGGGGGAAATGGCTCTTTCCCCTGCTCAAACAAGCAGCAGGCTGTGTTTGCAGAAAGGGGCCTCATGCTGAGGGAAGAAAAAGAGGCAGGGTGACCAAACCAGGTGCATTTCCCCGCAATTGCTCAAGCTTTTTACCTCTAAAAATGACACAAGCTAATTCATGGCATGTCAGCTCTGCTTTGAATATTCCATCTTTGGTCAAAGCCTGCTCCTTGGGAAACTGATAGTGCACGGTGCAGCACTCCTGCACATTGGAGAGGGACGACGTTTTCTTGTTGAGGTGGGTGGCAGGTAATCATTAACAGAGCCAACTGCTGTCATCCCAGCTTGCTTGCATGGCCTTCTCCAGCCTGCACCCTTGCACCCTGTATATATATCCCCAGGTGTGTTTCCATCCCACAGGAGGGCAGACAGACCTCCAAACCTCCAACACCTGACTAAAAGGGAGAAAGGGGTGATACCGAGGCCCTCTGCCCGAAAGCTACACTGCCCCTTTCCTAACACCCCTCATCACAGTGATTATGTTACAGCTTCTCTTCCCCACCATATACCTGACACTGGGTCAGATGGAAAACTAATTGCCATGGTTACTGACAATCCTCACTGTTGAGACATGGGCCAAGTGCTGGGGTCTGGGCACTGAAGCAGATTGGGCCCCCTCCTCCCAGTTGCATGTAGGTTGGGTCCCAGGGGAGGCCAGGACAATTTGGTGTGCCTTATACCTGCTACAGATCCCCACTGTCAGCTCTGGGCAGAAGCTGAAAGGTTGAAGACCATAAAGAGAGGCAGAGGGGTGGAAGGGGCAATGGAGCTGGGGAAGGAGGCTGCTTCTCCAAGCAGAGAGGGGGAAGCAGGAGCTCCAGGCATGCTGCCAAACTGCCCTCGGGAATCCCAGTTCAAGGTACCAGTATAGCTCCTCATTATCTGCCATGTCCATCTCTGGCTCCATCATCAGCGCTGCCAGCCAAAGTGATTACATCCCTTCTCCAAAGGAAACTATGCAGGAGAGATGGTACTGGCCACAGTCATCCTTACGAGTCTGGGGCTGGAAGCAGAAGTGTCCCTAATCCTCTGCTTTTGTAATTGGAGAGCAGTCCTCCCACCAGAGCAGCAGAGATAATCCCTGCCCTCAGTGCTCAGCACCGGACACAGGACCAGCAGGAAAACAATAGGAATAGCCCCTGGCAGGCTCATCTCCTACAGAGCAGCATGGCTAGGGACAGCTCACCACAAAAAAAGGCCAACAAATGGTTTTAAATCGGAGGCTGGATGCCACTGTAGTACCCACCACCCACTGATTTCTGTGGGCTGCACAGGGCAGGGCAGCTGCTGGGGCTGCTGTCTTTGCCCCAGGGAGCAATAGCAGGCTGCCAGTTCCTAACTCACAGTTCCAAGCCCTTCTGGATCACTTGGGATGGCAGAGCGCTTTCTCCCTGTTCTGTGTTACACTGAGTATTGATGTATGACACAGAATGGGGGAGAAGGTCCCTAGGGACAAAGACCCCATATCCAGCAAAGTTCCAGAGGGATGCTGTGCAGGAAAGTGGACAAGGACCTGGGCCCACAGTGAACACCCAAGAGTACCCCCCAGGTTAGGATGGGGGCAGGGGCCTTGGGGTATGACCTTGTTTGAGCTGTGCAAGGCATCACTGGTGCAGTACCCTATGCATTCTTGCAGATGCAGCAGGAGATGGGAACTAAAACATCAATCTCTTTATTTCAATGGCAAGAAACAACAACATCCAAACAGTCAAAGTTGAAAAGCAATGGGAATACAGGCTTGTGCCAGGCCCTGGACCTGCTGGAGCCAGCATCCTCACGGAGTTACAAAAATACAATCCTACAACAGCGTCTAAGAAACACAGACCCAGGTATTGCACAGAACTCCTGCCCTCAGTGAGCAGGGCAACCAAAGCCCCCTCCGTCTTCAAAATAACAGCAGGCTTGGAATTGCACAGCAACTCAGCTCACGCATGCACGGAGGGGCCAGGGGGGGAGGGGGACAGTGTGTCTCTCAACTACCTGTACAAAAACTATAAGGGAGAAAGGGAGAAGCTGGCGCTGTAGATGCCTCTGGGCCAAGCTGGGGGTCCCATCTGGGAGAGGAGTAGTGTGGACCTCTGAGAAGATGACAGTGCCTTGTTTGTCACTGGCCTTCATCCCAACTCTGAATGCATTAAGATGCTAACGTTATTAACTGCCAGTGCCACTAGCCCCTGCCACTTTGCACTGCCCTCTGCCTCTGTTCCCCACTACAGTATCCCCCATCCTCAAAGGGAACTCTGCCCCTGGCCAAAAAACCTGAAGAGTATTCTGGTTCTCTGTGGTATAATTACCTTTTTTTGGTTTTGGTATTGGTATTAGGAGACTCAAATGGTGCCATCTGGCACTACCCAGTGGGCGCAGCTGGGTGTAAGTGCAGAGGGACTGTACAGACCCCACATGGCAGCAGCAGTATCCTCTCCCAGGATCCAAGCTGTGAACAGCAACCCACTTCACTGCCCACCTGAAAGTGCCAAGCAGGTTTGCCAGGCCCAGAGCTATCAGTTTTCCTCCTCTGCTGGCACCTCCTGGTCTCAGAGAATGCCAGTTCTCTAAAAGCCTTGCTGAAAGGCTGGCTTGATGCCTCTGCATCAAGTGTCCACTGCAGGGGAGATGGGTTGTGGTGCCTCATGCTCCACGGCAGGCCCCCCTGCAGGCGTGACTCAGGGCTGGGAGCCCATATGCTTCCCAGGTTCCTTGTTCTGCTAAAACTGGAGACAGTGAGCTGGTGGCCTGCCCAGGGACTTTGTGCCTTGGCTGGGTGAGCTCTGAAGTTTTCCCTGTGAAGTCCTGTGTCCAGTTTAGGGAATGGCAGGACTTGGACTCAGAAGATGCATGTTGCCAGGTTGAGGGGCATGGGGGGGAATCCCTGAGAGCAGCACTGACCCCAGCATTGTTCCTCCAGCCCCATGCACAGACTAGCATTGAAGGGGAAACTGAAGCAGGGAGGGCAGCTGAATCCAAGTCAGCATTTGGGAAATATAACAGGCTTCACCACAGGCACTACTCAGGGTCAAGTGCAGCTCTCCACCATGGCTACATGCTGCAGTAGGCTCACAGAGAGATGCCCAGCAGACACTGGGTGTGCAAGCTGTCCCACCCAGCCCTGTGGAGGGAAGGATGGTGGGACAGCTTGGTAGCCTTTCTCTGTGCCATACATACCCTGAGCCAGAAGAGGCAGGGGCAGTAAGTTGTGCTGCTTCCCTTGTGGCAAAGTCTGAGGCTCATGGCCTCTGCTGTCTGCCTGCAGAACCTGTGCCTCCTGCAACTGTGCCAGACAGGAGAGGAGGAACAGGACCTGAACCTAGCCAAGCACCTAAAAGAGGGGCACTGCCAGCAGAGAGAGGGGCTGAGGAATGATATCCCACAAGGATCATAGGCAGGAGCCTGCAGAGGGGGCACTGGCATTACTCCCGTGCACAAGAGTGACTGGGGGCTTCAGCCTGGCTTGCCTCAATAAGGCCAGGGGATAGAGCCCATCTAGGGCAGGGAATGTGGTGAATGAGAGGTGAAGAAGTGGACGCACAAAGAATCAGGCTTCAAGTCCGAAATACCCACCTGTCCTCATAAACAGAGTCCCAGCCCAGCCTGGGGCAGAACTCTGCTGTATCCATCTCCAAGGACCAGGCTGACATCGAGGGAGGGTTGGGCCAGACTCATAGCTCTGCCAGTTGGCATTGTCCTCTTGTCCTGCCCAAGCTGGCTTGGGCTAAGGCACGCCAAGCACTACACAGCTGTCTCCTGGTCCTCCCGCTGGATCATCTGGTAGTGCTGTCGGTTCTCGAGGTAGGCAGCTAAGTCAGGGTCATTGGCTTTCTCAGCACGATGCTTTGGGGTGTCTCCCTGCATAGGGGAGGGAAGAAGTCAGTGCCAAACACTGCCTAAATACTGCCTTGGCACCCAAAGGTGCCCTCATTCCTCCATGCAACTGGGTCCAGCAGAGCCTGCAGCCAAGCCCCAAGGCAGGTGGTAGCCAAATGCCCATGTGCTCACCATGGGATGAGAGTGTGGTCCTGAGGAGCCTGACTGCTGCAGGACTGGAAACTGTCCCCTGAAGGGCCATCAGCTCCAGGCATGGCTAGGACAGGGACTGACCCTGGCCATCACCAGCCACCCAAGAGGAGACAAAGGCTATTCCCCAGGACCTGCTCTCTCCCTACGCTGGGGAGGCAGGAGGGAAAGGGTGAGGAATGAGGGGTATGTCTGGGGAATGCCCAGGAATACCAACCCCCCTTCCCTCTCTCAGCCTGGCTAGCACTCCTGCTCGCTCCTGCTCCCAGAGGAGGATCACATTTCACCAGCTTATTGCAGCCATCTGGACTGTGTCCACTAATGAACTCCCGCACTCCATAAAAAGCAAATCTGTTAACAGCTCCCAGCTCCATCTCCTCTCCCTCCCCTTGCTCCTCCTCACCAAGTGCCCAGGCTCTGCTGTGCCACTGAGAAAAGCCACAGAAACCTGGCACTCTGCCACTGCCATTGAAAACCAAGGCTGGAAGGGACACCCGGCCTGCCCCACTCATCCCCCTGTGCCCAGCAGGCCACAGGCAGCTGCAGCAGGGTGCCTGGTCCTCCAGAGTAGCCCACAGCCACATTTCTCCATCAGGAACAATGATCAGACATGTGGAACCTCCACTGGGCCCGGATAAGGCTGCCCACAAAAGCCCACCCATGGCTGCAGCGGTGTCATGCACCGAGAAATCCCCTCTTTTGCATGTGCGCCCCAAGACTGGGCACACCCCATGGTCCTGCAGCCACACCATCAGGGGGACGGAGAGCACTCTGTGCTTGGGTGCTAGCTCTCCTCAGGGACCTCCTCCCCACAGTCCCCGAATGCAATTGCTCATTTAACAGAGGAGGAATTGAGCTTCTTTCCTGTCCCCCTGCAGAAGCCCCTCTGCAATACTGCCTGCAGCCTGAAACCAGAGCTGCCAGGGCCTCTCTGCCCGGCTGGGCTCAGGCATGCCAACTAATAAGGCTCAGCCTCCCTCACCACTGCAGGGAGTGGATCAGCCCACTCTGAACCTGTGCTACAGGTCTCACGCCGGGATTTCTAACGAGGTGGGTCCTGCCTGTGCAGGCAGGCTGTGACCCAGAGCCCATGCGAGGTCAGTGCAGCGGCGCAGAGGGGTCCCCAGACAGCTACAAACCCTGACATGCACAGGCACGTGTAAGCCCACTCCCTGGGGCAGGCAGCATGCCTGAGTGAGGCTCCCTTTTGTGCTGGCAGGCTGGGGGCTGTTCCCCTCCTTCAGGCAAATGAGGGGGCTGGGGACAGAGAGGAGCTGTGCTCCCAGATCTGCTCTCTCCTCATGCCTCTGCCAGCCAAGTCTCCATCCAGCCCAGCCCCACTCTGGGTGCTGTGCAAAGCCTAAGCCTTAGACAGGACCAAGGAATAGAGATGGGGAGCCAGAGATTATCTGTACAGCATCTCCCTGGCAACTGGCAAACTGTGATTGTCTAAATTTGACCTCCAAGCTCCACCAGCTCCAGCAAGTTTGCACCCCTCAGCTGGGCTCTGAACCTGTGCCCCAGACCTGTCCAGATTGGACCTTCTTGGCTTGTTCTACATCTCTTCTCTTACAGCCCATCACTACAAGTCTCCACCAGACAGATCTGACCACATTCTCTCTGCTGCATGCCAGCCCTAGGAACCTCCTGTATCAAAATATGGCCTCAAGCCCCCCCTTCTGCGGCATCTCTGCCAGGGCTGGCACAATTCCCTGATGCCAAGGCACAGCTCAATTAACACAGCATGTAAGGGAAAGTGCTGCCACTGCCTGCTCCTGCTCCCCATGGGCCAGCTTCACCCACTGAGAGGAGTTCCCAGCTCCCCCATCATGACTGCCTGTGGGGGAGAGTGGGGGGAGTCCTGCAGCTGGGAGGGAGCTTGCAGGGAGAATGTCCTTGCTCTGACCCCGGAGGGTGGGAAGGGGGAGACAGGGATGAGACATTCCAGCCCCTCGCTTCTAATTTAATAAAACAACAGGGAGAGAAGTGCAGTGAGGAGAGGGATTTAACCCCTCTGTAGCTGGACTCTGCTGGGCAAGCATGTGTGCTCCATGTCAGGTCCTTTCTGGCTGGTAAACACCCACCCAAAGCACCCTTGCTCTGCTCTCCTGCTGGCCCTGCTCCTGCCAGCCCTCTGGTCACCCCAGAAAGCCCCACTGCCACCCCCTCCACTGTCACCTGCAGGTCTGTCTTCATGAGCGAAGCCCCGGCCTCCACGATGTAGTGGCAGATAGTGCGCTGGCGTAAGGCTGCAGCCTGGTGCAAGCTGGTTTCACCGCTGGGGAGGAGAAAGCGGGAGATGTGAGATGTCCCCCCAAATGGGGACAAGCAGCACATGCGGGTGGCAGCGAGAGACAGCAATTCAGCAGCAGCAGAAGCTGATGGTGGGTTGTGTGCTTGTCCAGGAAGCCCTGGCAGAAGAGGGGGTGATACACAGGAGCAGTCAGTCCAAAACGGACTGGGAATCATGGCTGGTAATTAGAGCACAGGCAGCTGAAGTGCCCAAATGACCGGTCACCTCGCAGAGGGTCTGGCCAACAGGTAACACAAGTCGGTCAGCAACTTACTTCTCCTCCTCTGTGGCATCAAGGATTTCTGAAGGGGCTGTGGAAAGAAAGAGTGCAGGGTGAGTGAGACCCGCCGCAGGGCAGAGACAGACCTACCTACTCCCTAGTCACATTCTGCATTGTTCCATAGAGGCTGCTATTTTCATGCTGCCTGACAAAGTCCCAACTCCAAAGCACTCAAGTCAGCAACAGCATCTGAGCCCAGCTGATCCCAGGGAAGAAGTGTTGGTTGTGGACTCATTATAGAGAAATATCTAAATAAAGCAGCCTGTATTTCAGTGGGAGCTGAAAAAATTGGGAGCTGCCAAAAACAACAGGTCAGCTGCCCCGACTGCAGAAGCAGGACACTGAGAAATGTTTCTCAGAGACATGATGGGTCCTGCCAGGATGCAGCAACAGCCGTGGGGACACCCCAGTACTGGCAAACAGATGACAGAAGGGTGATGTAGCAAACCCGGAGGGAAGGGATCTAAGACTAGGAGCACTCCCTCTGAGCAGAGGGTTGGGCTTTTTTAGCTGCCAGGCTCCTTTGCTAAAGGTGGCACTCTTGTCCCCAGCTCACCGTTCTCGATGATGTATCTGACGATGTCCTTGCTCCCTGATTTGACGGCATGGTGGAGGACAGTCTGGCCTGAGGAGTCTCGCACCATCAGGTCTCTTCCAGCTCGATGCAGCTCTTGGAACTACAAGATTCCCAGATTGCTCAGGATGAGTTGCCTTTCCCAGCTCCAAGACCCAAGCCCTGGCACTGTGCCCCTGAAGTGCCTGACAGGTTGTGTGGATATTTGAGGTTGGCAGGGAGCTTTGTCCAGCTCAGCAGTGCTGCCAAGTCCCTTTCCTATGCGTCCCCCAGGAAAGGAACACAGGTTCTTGCCAGAAGCCTGCCTGTTTTCCAGTCACCACTCCTGAAGGAAGGCCCTTGACAGGAGCTGCTCCAGGGCAACTGGGGTTTGCATGGTTGGCAGGGCTTCCCTTAGCCTGAGGGGCATGCTAGCTGAGAAGGCTGCAGGGAGGCTGCCCAGAGCCAGCCCTGGCTGCTCATCACAGCAGGCTGTGGGAGCACCTACCTTGCTGAAGTTGCCACCCTTGGCAGCTTCTATTAGAAGATCATCTGCAAAGAAGGGAGATGTATCAGTGTCAGAAAAGTCAAGCTGTAAAAAAATTTACCTAATACTGGAGACAAGGGTTGGGCACCAGAGGTGTGGAGCAGACTGCTAAGGGTACAGCACAAGATCCTCCAGGTGCTAATCCCTTGGTCAGACATGGCTCCTCCACCTTCAGGAATGTAAGGGACAAGTCAGGGGAAAGAAGGAGAGATCACATAACTGGGGGTGCAGCGAGACCTCAGCCCCTGTGAGGTGCATGTGCAGGGGGAGTAGTCTCTGCCCACGGGCAGGATAACTTGTGATGGAAGTGGGGAGTAGATCTCTTGGGCATCAGCCAGCGGCCAAGATACTGCTCACCAATGACTCACTCACACTTACAGGCTCTGATCAAGCTTCGGGAAACTCTGTCCATTTGCTCAGCTTGGTGAGGCCCCTGTCCTAGTGTTCCCACCTCCCCAGTTGCCCAGTGGAGACAGCCTCCCAACCAAGCCTAGAGTGCTCAGCTCTGCAGGTGGGAGATTAACTCCTTGCCACATCATTTCCTGCACAGTGGAGCCAGGAAGGTGCCTGGTTGGGCTGCTCCACTAGTCACTGTCAGGTGTCTCCTGCCCTCCTCTCGGGTCACCTGCCCACAGGGCTCCCTGCTCCCACTAGCACATGGGCAGCAGGGCTCCTACCTGCTCACCAGGGAAAGAACAGGCCAAAAAAAACATGGCAGGAAAACAAAAAAGCACGACCTGAGAGGGTGTGACAGGGGCTGGGACACAACTCACCTCTGTGTGGGAGGCAGCGCTCAGGCTCAGCGCTGGAAGGGAAGAAGAAAAGGTGTAACTAACTCTGCCAGTCCTGGCAGTAGATCCCCCAGAATACACGACGTGGGTAGAGGAATGGCTGTGGAGAAACCTGCCTGTGGCACTCCTTCAGCAGGCAGGAGGAGAAGCAGACCAAGAGATTGCTCTTTGGCCATGCCATCTACTTCTTCCCTGATCTGGGTTCTTCCCCATCCCCACTGCCATTTCTACTGCTGTTCCTAGCTCCATTGCTCTTCCATACCTGAGGTTGGCCTTAGCTGGACGGAAAGACACCCATGTCTTTTGCCCCATGGGCCAGGTGCTGGAGCTTTACCCCATGCCTCAGCCACCCGGTGATGTTCCACTGCTTATAGCAGCACTGGTAGAGGAACAAGGAAGACAGGATGGCATCTCACCCATTGGTTTAATTCAGCACTGAATTCCTGCTCATTTCCCGGGAGCCACTCTGTAATCTGGCCCAGGGATCAATGTTGTGAAGCCAGCCCTGCTTCTCTCATCACTGCCCATCCTTCCTGAGGTACCCCATTCCAGACTCACCTGGGGGCAGGAGAAGAGGGTGGAGAGGAAGAAGAGGAGGGGAATGCGAAGTGGTGCCCAGGGGGTGTGGCAGATGAGTCCACGAGGTCGGGCATGGCAGGAGAGGTGCTCACGGTCTGGGTGATCACTAGCTCTGGGTCCAACACATAGAGCTCGTCCTGAGAGATCTCTGTCACATAATTCAGGTGCTCCTGAAAGACACAAGTCAGGCCTCCTCAGAAGAAAGACTGCCTTCTGCATAGCCCCATCCCCTCACATCCCGTGCCTTGCAGCCCACCCACTTGCTCAGCAAAGTGGTGGCTTGAAGAGTCCTGTGCCTGGGAACCTTCACATCTTGTCCTTTTCAGGTTTCCTATCGCCTTGCCAACTTATCAATGCTGTAAACCTCATCTCCATGTCCTCTTCTCCAGATCACTGGGGAAAGCATCTAATGTTGGTGAGGATGACCCCAGTCAGTGAGTTCCCTGACCAGTCTTGCTATGTTTGCTATTCCTTACCCACTCCACTCTAGGGCCCTGTGGGCTGCTTCCAAGTCAAGGCTCTGTGCTACCAGCCACACTTTATCCCTTTTCTCCAGGAACCTGGAGGTGTTGGCGCTGGTCCTGAACCGGGCGTGTCATGCCATCCCTTGGGGGATGCCACAGGGCAGGGCAGCAGTGACCCCAAGTCTATGCCTGCCTGTTGGTCTGCATGAAGGTGGGACACCCAAGCAACTCTCCAGCAGACGCCAGGGGGATGATGGTGGAGGACGAGGCTGCACTCACCTGTGCACGGTCTATCCTGTAGAACCGATTGGCCGTGGTAGCTGTAAGACAGGGACAGAACGAGACAGGGTGACTCTTGGTGCGAGACAAGGGAGACAGCCACTTTTCACCACTGAGTGACAGTGAGCTATCCAGCCACTTCATGGCTTGCACAGAGGGCACAGCAAAGCAAACAGCACCCCCTGACCAGGAGCTAACAACTTCCCTTTGTGACTTTGCTGCTTTCTTCTTCTTGCCTCTGTGACCATCATGCCCCTGTGAAACATGCCTTTGCTTGCTATGCCCCCCTCAGTGACTCCTGGCAGGGAGTTACAGGGAAGGCAAGAACACATCTAGCTGATGCCATGGTCTTTCTGGTGGCTTTTGTGTGCTCCACCATTATCCTAAGCAGATGAAGCTCAGGGCTGTGCAGTGCACATCTCAGCATTCACTTACACCAGGTGAGGAACTGCTCTGATTAACATGGTACACCTTGTTGCACAGTGCTCAGAAGTGGGGGCACTATGGGGGGCTGGAGAAGGGGGAGCTCAGCCTCCTGCTGACTTGACTGAGTAAGGTCCCACAGACTTCCATGAGGCCATGCAGAGCATGTGACTGCAGGCACAACAGAGCATGCCACCACCAGCTGTAGATCCAAGACCCTGTCTCCTAGGATGGCAGGAGAGCTTCAAACCAGACTCCAGCCTGTCTGAGTGGAGAAGAGATCTTCCTTGGAGAAGAGATCACCACAGGGGGAGAGGAGGTCCTACAGAGCAAGTGGCTATGCTAGAGCCAGACACATGCAGCCACCACTGCTGGGGAGCAGGGAGGAGTTGAGGACTCTGGACATCACCAAGGGAGAGCAGGACAGGTAAGAACACAGTGCCGAGACAACTGGGTTCCCATGCAGGGCATCAAGCATTTCCCCTATGTCCTGCCAGGCTGCTAGTGTCAGTCTAGGAGAGATTGCTGTCATGGGACCCTTGGGGCCCCAAGGAAGTCTTTCTGCAAACAGAGTCAGGATGTGCCAGAGCAGACGAGAGAAATGAAAGAGCCACGTTTATCCTGTCCTGGTTGGAGATTTACAGCCAGGGAGCTACTGTTCAAGGTCTATAATTTAGCCACTTGAACGAGCCTGTGCTGTGTTGAATGAAGCTCTGGCATCTGACACATTTTCCCAAGCTCAGAATCTACTGCTGGGAGATTAGCGGGAGAAGAGGAAGTGGCTCTGGTACAGCAGTCTTGGTAGTGACACATGGGAGCAGCAGCACCAGCAACCCCACATGCAGGGTTGGAACCTCAAAGGGAGAAATTGCATCCTCTCTGCCTAGTACGAGGTTTCCCAGGCCCACCTTTCAACCCATGGTTGTGCTCTGCTGTGCTCTACACCCTGCTGCTGGGAAGTCAGGGAGATGAAGTGCAACCAATGGGCATTTCTCTCAGCCAGCTTCTAGGTAGAGAGGGAGCCTCTTAGTGAAGGCAAAGGGAGAGAAGAAAGCTACTTTTCTGGCAGGGAGGAAGAAGCAGCCAGAGCTCAGCAGGGAGCATGCTCCCCTACAGCACTGGGATGCTGATGGTGTGCCTGGCTCCCAGCATGCGGAGCAGGGGGGCCCCCTGCCTGCATGACACAGGAGAGCAGCCCTAGCAGAACACAGGCTGCCAAGGCTGCCTTCAGGTCCGAGGGCAGGAGACCAGCAGACATCCCTTGCTTCACTCCTGGTCAGCAGCCAAAGACATGGCCTGGGGCAAAGCACTGCAGTGGTCGACCCCAACATCCATAGGTTCCAAGCATCACATGGCTCCCTGTGGCTTGTCACTGAGTATCTGTCCTCTCATCCCCCAGATTCACAGAGTCATCAAATTGTTTGCTTTGGAAAAGACCCTTAAGATCATTGAGTCCCACTGTTAAACCAACACTGCCAACTCCACCACTAAACCATGTCCCTAAGTGCCACATTTACACATCTTTTAAATACCTTTAGGGATGGTGACTCATCTGCTTTCCTGGGCAGACTGTTCCAATGCTTGACCACCCTTTCAGTGAAAAAACTCCTCCTAATATCCAGTCTAAACATTCCCTGACACAACTTGAGGCCATTTCCTTTTACCCTGTCACTTGTTACTTGGGAGAACAGGCCAAACCCCAACTGGCTACAACCTCCTTTCAGGTAGCTGAAGAGAGAGATAAGTCTTAGCCTCCTTTTTTCCAGGATAAACAACCCCAGCTCCCTCAGCCATTCCTCCTATGGCTTGTGCTCCAGAACCTTCACAAGCTCCATTGCCCCTCTCTGGACATGTTCCAGCACCTCAATGTTCTTCTTGTAGCAAGGGACCCAAAACTGAACACAGGATTCAATGTGCGCCCTCACAGTGCCAAGTACAGAGGGACAATCACTGCCCAAGTCCTGCTGGCCACACTTATTTCTGACACAAGACAGGATGCCATTGGCCTTCTTGACCAACTGGATACAATGTTGGCCCATATTCAGCCAACTGTTGAACAGCACCCCCAGATCCTTTTGGCTGGGCACTTTTCCAGCCACTCTTCCCCCAGCCTGTAGCAATGCCTGAGGTTGTTGTGACCCAAATGCAGACCTGGCACTTTGCTTTGTAGAATCCTCATATCCCTGGCCTCGATCCACCAATCCAGCCTGTCTAGATCTCTCTGCAGAACCTTCCTATCCTCCAGAAGATCAACACTCCTGCCCAACTTGGTGTTGTCTGCAAACTGACTGAGGGGGCACTTGATCCCCTTGTTCAAATAATTGATAAAGCTAATAAACAGAATTGGTCCCAATACAGAGCCCCGGGGAATGCCACTAGTGACTGGCACCAGCTGGGTTTAACTCCATCCACCACCACTCTCTGGGTCTGGCCATCTGGCCAGTTTTCTACCCAGTGAACAGTGCCACAAGCAGCCAGTTTCCCCAGGAGAATCCTGTGGGAAACGGTGTCAAAGGCTTTACTCAAGTCTAGGTAGACAACATCCACAACCTTTCCTTCTTCCACTAAGCAGGTCAACTTGACAAAGGAAGAGATCAGGTTAGTCAAGGAGGGCCTGCCTTTCACAAACTCATGTTGGCTGGGCCTGATCCCCTGGTTGTTCTGCCTGTGTCACATGATGACACTCGGGATGATCTGCTCCATGACTTTTTGTGGCATGAAAAAGGCCTGTCGGGCTGACAGGCCTGTAGCTCCCCAGATCCTGCTTCTGGCCCTTCTTATAGATGGGCATCATATTTGCTAACTTTCAGTCAACTAGGACCTCGTTAGGCAGGACTGCTGGTAATTGATTGAAAGTGGCTCAGTAAGCACTTCTGCCAGCTCCCTCAGTACCCCTGGGTGGACCCACCCAGTCCCACAGACTTGTGTGTGTCTAAATGGTGTAGCAGGTCACTAACCATTTCCCCTTGGATTATAGGGATTTCATTCTAGTTCCTGTCTCTGTGTTCCAGCTCAGGGTGCTGGGTATCCTGAGAACAACTGGTCTTACTATTAAAGACTGAGGCAAAGCAGGTGTGAAGTACCTGAGCCTTTTCCTCATCCTTTATCACTATGTCTCCCCATTCATCCAAAAAAGGATGGAGATTCTCCTTAGCCCTCCTTTTGTTGTGGATGTATTTGTAAAAACATTTTTACATTTTAATCTGGCAGTAGCCAGATTAAGTTCTCATTAGGCTTTGGTCTTTTTAATTTTCTCCCTGCATAAACTCATGACATCCTTGTAATCCCCCAGAGTTGTCTGCCCCCTTTCCCTTCTCCTGAGTTCCAACCAAAGCTCTGTCTTCAGCCAGCTTGGTCTTCTTCCCTGCCAGCTCATCTTTTGGTACATGGGGATGTACTTCTACTGAGCCTCTAGAATTTCCTTCTCAAAGCATGTTCAGCCTTCCTTGACTCCTTTGCCCCTTTAGGACTGACTCCCAAGAGAATCCATCAGCAGTCTCCTTAACAGGCCAAAATCTGCCCTACAGAAGTCCAAGATGGCAGTTCTGCTGGTACCCCTCCTTATGTCGCCACAAATGAAAAACTATCGTTTTGTGATCATGATGGCCAAGGTGGCTTCCAACTGTCACAACACCCACCAGCCCTTTCCTGTTCAAAAATAGCAAGTTCAGCAGGCCACCTTCCCTAGTTGGGAAGGTATGTCAGGAAGTTACCTTCCACACACTTCAAAAAATTCCTAGACTGCTTCACTTCTGCTGTGTTGTACTTCCAGTAATCATACGGTAAGTTGAAGTCTCCCACAAGAACAAGAGCTGGTGATGGTGAGACTTCTCCCAGATGCTTAAAGAATACTTCATCTGTCTCTTTATCCTGGCTGGAGTCTGTAAGAGACTCCTACCAGGATATCTGCCCTGTTGGTCCTTCCCTTGATTTTAACCCACAAATACTTAACCCTACTGTCACCATCATTAAGCCCTAGACAACTGAAACACTCCCTAACAGTGGCTACCCCACTGCCTCTCCTTTCTTGCCTGTCTCTTCTGAAGACTTTATAGCCATCCATTGCAGCCTGGTTGCGTGACTTGTCTCACCATGTCTCCATGATGGCAACTATGGCAGTTTCCTGCTGCACCATGTCTTTTCAGTTCCTCCTGTTTGCTGCCCATGCTGCATGCACTAGTGGAGATGCACTTCAGTTGGGCTACTGATTCCACCACCTTTTCCACCACCCTAATTCCTATGCCCTAATTCTCAGGTGCCTCTGTGGTTTCTAACCCACCAATAACCTTTGCATCTTTGCTGCCGCATGGATCTCCCTCCTCTACTTCCACTGAGATGGCAGACCAAAGGACCCTGCTAACGCATCATCAGACACAGTCAACAGGGAAGGATGATACTCACAGTCCAGGAAGCACCACTTGGGTGAAAGCTTCTGGAATGACAGTGTCTTTGGCTTGGCTCCATCTCCCTCCTGCATAAAAAAAGAGAGGACAAAGTTGTATCTTTTGGCCTCCCCATTTCTCTTCACAGCATCCCTCCTGCTTTGGGAGGTTCCTGGAGACACAGAGGACCACAGGCGCTCGGATGTAAAGGAGAACTTGAACACAGGCACAGCACAGAGCGACGGGGAGCAGAACGGGACAGACTGGAGCCAACGCACACCAGCCCACTGTGGAGAGGTGTCACAAGATGAGCCCATGAGACTGGCACAGTGGACATAACAGATGGGCCCAGTGGACAGAGTGAGGCCATACACACCTGAAAGAGCAGGCATTCTAAAGGAGAGGGCTGTGGAAGGAAATCCTGCAGAAAGGCAAGGTGTGCTGTTACAGCCTGTGTCTGGTTGGCCCCCAGCCCCTCTCTCATCCCATTGATGTGCTGACATATCTGGCTTTACACACTGCCTGGCCAAGGTCCCTGGTCCCTGCCTGGCTTTAAGGTCAGAGCACAGTGCATGTCCAAGGAGAGAGAAGAGGTAAATTGTGAGGTGACCAAGGAACACCACCCTCAGTGCACAGTTTTAGAGACGCAGGAGGTAGCAGAGGCATCAGTCTACCATGTTGACACTACAGGAAAGTGTTACCCTCTGAGCCCAGGAGCCATGTGCCCACCTGTGTGTCCTCACCAGTGCCTGTGCACAAGGTGGGCAGGGGACAGACATGCAGAGCAGAAAAAGAGCAGAAGAGGCAGATGACAGTGTGCCAGCCCAGGCAAGCAGCACCACAACTCAGCCCTGCAGGACACTACGCACACACTGGATAGGATTCCCTCAGGCACAAGAGCCAGTTAACTGGGGACTGAGCAATGTCCCTTCAATCTTCTGGGTGAGAATCAGACTGAGCAGTGCAGCATCAGGAGCCACACTATGGACTCAGAAGGCATTGTTCACTAAGAGTAAGAGTTACACAGTCTGTGTACAGGTCACAGACATGTGCTAGTACATTGGCAAGAGTGCAAAAGTTAGTACTTGCAAATGAAAAGAGTTGGAGGGGTTAGAAACCTAATCCAGGCACCTGGAGAGGGCAGAGTTGTGCCAGGAAGCACAGAACCTGCAGAGGATTGAAGGGTGATAGACCCCCACAGGATGGGTGTCTATTTCCACTACTCCATAAATTTTCTGTGTCACTGACACTCTGGGCTTGGAGAACACAGTCAGAGGAGCAATGTTGAGAAAGAAGCTGCCAAACAGCAGGGAGCTACAAGCCATCCAGCTTGGGATCCTGCCTCCACCACATGGTGAAGGCAAACCACGACTTGAAGCAAGAGTGTGGGTGTGTGGGTGCACAAAAGTCAAGAAAGTTTAAAAATCCTTTCCCTGAGCCCCTCCATTCTTGGCATCCAGCCACAACCACTTCCCACACAGAGACTCACCTCCTGCAGCTTCTCGATTTGGGTCCGGCACAACTCCAGGTCACTGTCTCCTGGAACTACGATGATCCCCAGTGGCACAGCTGCATGACAGGGCACAGACACAACTCAGGGAGCAGCCCGTGCCCCACCCCCAACACCTCGTGCAATTTAACTACAGGCTTTGCCAGACTCGGGTACTGAAGCTCCCGCCCCTTGGTCACTCAGCTGGTCACTCACAGGCTTCCTTGAGCTTTTCCTTGTCATAGTTCAGCGCCTCATAGTCACGCATGCTGATTCGGCTCACCCGGATCCGCAGCCGCTCGGGCACTGGCTGCTGGCTGTGTGCAAGGGGGAAGGAGACGGAAGAGATCAGAAGGTGACAGACCACTCTCTCCTTATCTCCCTCATCCCTCCAAAACAAGCAAGAGCACAGTGTTCTACAGACTGGGTGGGGAGCTTGGCATCAGCAGCTTCTCCACCACCACGGTCTGGCCATATTTCTGTGACTTGATCCCTTCCCAGACCCTCTACAAAAAAGAGGATTGAAATGCCTCCATGAGTCACGGATCAGTCCATCCCTTCCCCCTCCAACCCTTCTTCCCTGGAGAGAAGGTGGCAGATCAATCTGAGGAACCTACTCATTGAGCAGAGGCATGGAGTTGCGCCGCTTGGTCTTCTGCACCATGTTTGCTTGGTTGCGCAGGGAGATGTGGATGCAGGAAGCTGCCAGTTTGCAGGGTTCTCCATCCACCTGCATAGGGATGGCCTTGGATGTGGTGAGAACCACCTGCCGGCACTGACAGAGCCGCTCCCCATGGCCACCGACCTGCAAGGCAGCCTGTGAAAGGGTCCATTGTGAGAGTAGAGCATGGACTGAGGGGTGGATGAGGGGAGCACCCACTGGCAGATAGATGTTTTAAGTGAACCAAGTTCTGAGGGTCTCAGGCCTGATTTCAGAGAGAAGGGACCCACAGAGGCCAGGGCATGACAGCACCTCACCTAAATGTCAGAGAGCAGATGCTGTCACACAGGCCAGCACCACAGCTTCTCCAGAGAGGATCTGTGGAGCTGGCTGACACCTGGTCAATGGGACCAGTCACTTCCTTAGTTGTTAGCTACAACTGGCAAAAGCACTGACTTACCAGGGATGTCATGGTGAAGCCAATAACTTCAATGCAACCATCATCATGGCGCTGAGGCTCGAAGTCGTGGTGCTCTCCAGGGTTGCCCCAGGGCATGGTGCCTGCACAGTACCTGTGAAAAGATGGTAAGAGATGCACGGACAGGTACCCCAAACCCAGGCAGGGATCTGCGGCACATGAGTGAGAAGGCCAGCATATGAAGACAGGTCCTGGGACTGCTCACCTTGGGATATTCAGGAAGACCAGACACTGGGGCTTCAGGTCCTGAATCTTGGAGGTCAGGTCTGTCCCATCACACTGGAGATAATACAGAGGTGTTCAGGCTGCTTTAAGGGGGAGCCTGGTCCATCCTACCCACTTTGGAAGAAATGGCCTCCCTCCTCTGCTCCCTACAGTGACTGTCCTCCAAGTCAGAGGAAGCTGATGTCCCAGGAACATATCCACTCCCCAACACTGAGATAATCAGCGTGCCAAGGGACCACTCTTCGCATCTCCACAGCTCACCCCTTCACTGCACCAGAGCACCCCAGCATACTCACAACCAGCCTGACATGCTTTGCCAAGTCCTTGGAGCTCCCCGTGAGGAAGTCAGAGAAGGCCGTCTGCCAAGGTAAGAGCCAGTGTTAGTGTCCAGATGTTCACCGAAACGGGCAGCCAGGAAGCCTGCCACTGACCTGCATATCTCAGCTGCTGAAAACCACAAATCCCCTTTTCATGCACTGGCAGAAGCCCTCTCCTCCTGTCCCAAAATGACCCGATACATTCCATTTGCTATATTGCCTACCAGAAACCCTGGGGCACCTTCAGTAACATGCTTCAGTATTATTCCCTTGCCAGCCCAGTTCTGACTTCAGGGAAGAGCTGGCAAGGTGGGTCTCTGCTAGTGAAAGGCTCAAGTCACAAGAGACAAATTCAGTCTCAAGTTGTAAGGAAGTATCACAAACCAGAGCTGATGTGACACCATCTAGAGATACCATGAGGGACAGTATGGGCCCTCTTTGGGTTTAACTGTACAGACAGGAAGAGAGACGCAAGCACGCCAGATGTGAGATGGCACAGAGCAGCATTTGGCCTTTAGTATGCTCAAGTACCAGCCACCCAGACACTTGGGTAGAAGGTATATTGAGGATGGGGAGACAGAGGAATAAAGGCAATGCTGAGACGCAGTCTAGAGGTGAGATACGGGAAGGTGGTATAATTAGCCAGGGAGCTGTAACTGGCCCAAGATATAAAAGAACAAAGTAGTGTGGGGACTCTATGGAAAGGCTTCCTGTTCCTCTGCAGGGGCGACAGCCTGCCTCCCCACAGCTCTGGGGAGGTCCTGCCTGGGTGACCAACTGTGAGCCAGAGAACAAGAACAATAGTGGCAGGAGATCAAGACAGCAACTGTACTGCAGGTCATGGAGCAAGCTGTACTGCCAGCAGCACTCGCAGCCAAAGAGGAGTTGTGACTCCCAGCGCTGCAGCCTTTCTCCAGCAATTCTCCAGCTTCAGGGTGGGTGAAGGTCCATGTAACTTGGATGAGTGAGTTTAGGGGGCAGACAGGAGGCAGGTCCATGCCTGTGCTCCAGATGTTAAGGCTGCTATGAAGGCATGCTCAGATATCCTCCACACACTCACCCCAGCATAGAACATTTTATTCCGAAACCGGCTGTTGAACTTCTCCGGGTTGGCCTCTAGGGAAAGGATAAAAAAGTTCAGGTCATTGGCCTGCACATGGAAATATTTCACTTGCCAGCTCTCCCCAGACATAGTTCTCCAGCCAGCCTCGGCCAGGAGTCAGACCCCAGCTCTCTTCCTGTGCAGGCAACCCCTCTTGCCACTCTGCAGCCTCAAACTGCTACTCATGTTTAACATTCAGGGGAATCTCTGGGGAAATCCTTTTGTTCCCTTTCCTGAGGAACCCAAAACCACGAACGGGTCCATCCCACAGACCCTGCCCAAGCCCTGCCACTGCCCTGTACCTCGGGATTCATGAAACTCCAGCGTCACCCGTGCATCAAAGCCAAGGCTGAAGTAGTTATTAAAGACATCCAAAGGCAGCTGAAATGGAAAGGAGGAATAAGGATGAGACTGCCGGTGTGTGGCCGTGGCAAAGATGAGGTCAGGTTGCAGCAGAGCCACGTACAGTGCTCATGAGGCTGAAGGAGCCTGTTTGCCTTCTCCCCAGGAAAATACAGAGGTCACCAGCATGAGATGATGGATTGGTCCCTGGCTCCTAGGTCCAAGGGAACACACTCTGCTGTCTGAGATATCTGCAAATACCTATGTATCTGCTAAAGAAACAGTCTCAGACAGGACTGCGTTTATACCTGTTGCAACCTATGGTTAAAAACCTCTGGTAGACATTTAGTTCTGAACTCTACATGCCTTGCCACGAGCGCTGTGACTCAGAGCCATGATGAGAGCAGTGAAATTGCAGGAGGGAGAGAGAAACACCAACCCAACACTCTAGCCCCAGGTGCTAGGGCTGCCTGAGCCAGTGGAAGAAAGGAGAATGCAGACCGCCAGCACAGGAAACAAATACGGAGAGGAGGTGTCCCACCTTGTCAGTGGCTGCATCATCCTTTTCCTCAGGGTTTGTGTCAGGGTTTGGCTCCACATGGAGGTTCCAGCGATCGAGCTGCACTATGTTCCCATCTTCTACATGAGACAGGATCTTGGACAGAGGCTCATCCGTGTAACCCTGGTGAAGAGAAGGACTTGGTGAGTCTCATACCTGCCTCCCACAGAGATGCCCCACAGATAGCAGGCTTTGGTAAGACATCCCAGAGCATAAGATGTAGAAGAGATCAACTCTACTTGAATGCACAACAAAGTGGGACTTTAAATTTAAAACAATATATCTTCCTTCTAAAAATCTCCTGAAGTTTGAAATAGTGATTGCTTTTGTTAACATCCTACTAGACTATTATCTAATGCAGAACAATTCAAATGTTAGAAGAATGGTAACATCCAAATGGCACTTATTTCTTGATCTGTTTTTATGGGAAGTCAAAACAGTAGCCCATGCAAAATCCCACCCATGTGTCTGGAAGAGGAATTGAAGTGCTCAGCCCTTCTCTGTCAGCAGTGGGCTCTCATGCCCATCACTTACCCCACCCCAGTTCAGTGTTCTGGCCAAGTCATTCCCTGTTCCCAAAGGTAGGATGGCCACAGGAGGAGGTGGGTTGATCCGTAACTGGTCCAGAATGGAGAGTATCCAGCCCACCTGCTCAAGCAAGAGAGTGCAAAGGAGCGGTTATTTCAGGGACCAGCAAGCAGGCAGAGGTGGCTCAGAGCACTAGCGATGGCAGAGATGGGGTCCCCTTAGCCACCATCAAGGCTATTCGCAGTCTTTAATGCTCCAAACAGGTGAAGCAGGAGATACTAGTAACCCCAGTGAAGATACTGGCCTCCCAAAGAGCTACAAATCCAGATGTTACAGACTATCACTTCCTGAAGCAGGGCATAAGGGCACCCACAGTATCCAGTGCCACAGCGCACAGTTTGCCCCATTCTGGATTACAATAAGGAAGGGCTGCTTCCTGCATGGAAGGGCATGGGGCAAAGGGCATCACGGGCACCAAGGGTCTGGGGGACTCACCGTGCCGTCTCCCCCACACGCCAGGATCCGGAGGTTGTGGACTTTGCGGTACAGCTCCAGCCTGCAGGGAACGGGGAGGTTAAGGAGGGAGGGAAAAAGTACTGAAGGTGTTACGCAGCAGCTGCCTCACAGAACCCTTGGTATTCACAAAGTGTCTCCCCTCCCATTGCCACAGGTGTTCTCAACAGTGGGCAAAGCCACAGTAATTTTGGTTTCACCAGCTCTTGCATAGGAAGAGTGGAGTGTCCACAGGCTGCGCACACACAGATAACCCAAGCAAGGAGACAGGACTCACACAATGTTAATTAAATATAAGGAACTAAGTCTGGGGACCTCAACCCATAGATAGTCTCTTTGCCACTAGCCTTAAGACTAGACCAGCCCTCCAGCAGGAATCACTGACTGACCACAAGCTAGAGAGGCCTCTCAAAATACTGGAGGTCTCTTTGCAGGTGGGAGCTATGGAGCATCAAGCAATCTCTGGGGCAGGGATGGAGGAGAGAAAGATGCTGCCTCCATCAGTACTCACGCCTCCTTGGGTCCACCTTGGCTGAGGTCAAAAACTTGCCGTGGATTGAGATACCACATGAAGGACTGGATGATCTTGGCTCCCTATGGGGAGAAGAAAGACATCGGGTAACAGGGAGTTCCCAGTGGACAGTGGAAGAAGGCATCTGGTCCTGGGGACAGCCCAAGACAACATCATTCTGAGAGGCACAGAGGCAAAGCCTGGCCTAGGTAGGAGTTGCTGAGCAGAAAACTGGCATTGTGGTGATTGCCATGCCTCTTCTGCAGCTGAGACATCACCAAAACCATGATGAGACCTTGGCAGTCAAATGGCAATGCCCTCACGGAGATGCCTTCTCAGGGAGACATTGGGCAAGGCCATACCTGATTCCCACCGCTCTTGGGGTTCACAAACACCAGTAAGGGCTTCATAAGAGGAGCTGGCATGGGCTTGATCACAAAGGGTTTCCACCTCCCTTCCTGCAAGAGACACCACAGGTCATTCAACAAACCTGGGAAAACGCAAACTCCCACCTCCAGCTGAGCCCTAACATCACGCAGGTCAGAAGGGTGAGGAAGAGAACATCCCAGTCACCCCATAAGCCTCATAGCTGGAATATACCCTACCAGGAGGTATCCGCCCTCCAGCTCAACTTCTTTAACCTCAGCACAGACCCAGCAAAGCCCCCCCTTTGTTTCCCAGCCCTGCTCCTCACTGTTCAGTCCCTCTGCCCTTCCAAGACAAGGTTATTCCTTGTCCCCTGATCTCTTACCTCGGCCCCCTTTTTGCTGGATTTCCGCTTGAATGATGTCCTCTTCTTCTTCTTACTAGATTTCAGTGGATTCTAGAGACAAAAGAAATAAACATAGCAACTCTGTAAAGAGCCACTGGGCAAGTGGGAGTTGTGAAAGAGCCACAAGAGCCAAGATGACTTACCTGGGGCCGTCGGACCCGCAGAATCCAGGTGGGAGGAACGACGACAGCAGCATGAGCCCCCAGCGAGCAGGGCTCTTCAATGTGTTGCAGCATGAAACACGACACTTTGCTGTGATACTGGGGAATGAGAAGACAGAGAGAAAACTCAGCTGCTCAGTTTTCTAGGGACAGCCACCATCTCCTCCCAGCTCCCACATGTCAATACAAGGAGTGCTGAAGGAAACCATACAGAAATTTTGTCATGGGAAGGCAACAAAGAGAAAGTTTCTAGAAGGAGTTCACAAATATCACAGTACAGCCTCAGTCAGTAGGAGGAGCTGTTAAGGGTAGGCTGCAGAGAAGCAGCCTGGGGAGTCTCAGCAGAAAGCAGAGGTCATTAGGTGCAGAACAGGCTGGTCAGGCATTCTATGGGGGCTTTGCTCACCGCTTGCTTGCACCAGGAACAGCTGATGGCTACAATCTCTTTACTGTGGAAGGCAAACTTCTGCTGAAAACCCTGTGGAAGAAAGGATAAGAGGCTTAGGGAATTCCCTCAGGGTTTTCTACCTTCCAACAGGACTTTCCCACCACTAAGAGAGAGATTAACAAAGAGAGCATGTCTGCAGCTGGAGCCCTCTAGATCCCTGTCAGATAGCCCCAACCACCACTATGGTACCAGGGAGGTCACTGTGCTCCACAGGGGTGTCCTTAATGCTCAAAGAAAGCATGACAGGAAGACAGTCTCCTCCAGGATTGATTGGGCCCAGGGGGAAAACTATGTGGGAAGCATTTAGTGCTTCACTGAGCAAAACAGAGCACGTGTCTTGGTTTTACTGCCAAACAAGAATGGTGGGATGTCCCTGGTTCCCAGCCCTGTTCTTGTCTCTCATTTGACCTTAGATTTCCTGAGGCTGAGAAAAACACCCCAAGATACCTTCTCACCTTGCCACACTGCCGGCATTTCCCTTCCTGCCGCCTCCGGTGCACCCAGTGATGCCGGACAATGATGGGCTAAAGGGAAAACAAAAAAAGAAAAGAAAAAAAATGGGGAATGAAAGGCCCAGCATGTGAAGGAATTCAGGAACAGGCAGAAATAATGGACCCAAGCCACCCAGGACCACTGCTCTTGCAGCAAACCCACTGCTCACAGGCACCAGCCCCAACCCTCTGAGAGAAGGCAAAGCCAAAGAATTGGGGGCATGAGGCCAAATTAAGATGCTCAGAGAAAAGGGAATCAAAACCAGAAGAAATAGGAAGGAGGAGAGGGAAACTGAAGACTGAGAATCACAGAAAGCAGACCCAAGAGACAGGGGGCAAGCAGTAGCACATCTCAGTCCCTTAACATCTCTGTCCAGATGCCCCTAGTGCCAGGTGAAAAACCTGCTGGTGGAAGGTGTGAAAATAGAAAGACAGAAGTGCTTGCAGCTAAGCAGAGAACCTATCTTCCCCATTCCTCTAGGACAGCGGCAGACCCAAAGCCCCCCACACCCACTTCTCCCTGCTCTTTGCCCCAGGGCAATCCTGCAGCCTGTCTCAGCCCCAGGGTGGGCAGCAAGCAGGCACCTCTACCCTGCCTGCAGGCTCATGGTGGGAGAGGGCTGGGACGTGCAGGAGTCACTTGCAGTGAGGGACTCAAAAGTTTTGTAAGGAAGCACCACATGTCCTAAATCCTACCCTGCTCTTCCAGCCCTGGATTAGGAATGGCACTGCAGAGAGAGTAGCAAAAACAGAAGAGGGAGTGAGAATTCACAGGCTGTGGCAGGGCCCAATCCTGACAGCTTTTGGGATCATGATGACAGAGGCACAAACTGGCAGGAGGTTTGGGTCAGCTCCAGTGTTGCCTGCTCTGAGTGCAGCACACTGGAGAGGACAAAGAGACCTGTTGGCTTTAGCAGACATGAATCTAGTAGGAGCAGAAGGGAGGCTATGCCTTGAGCTGAACTCTAAGTCCCAGCAGGCACATCTAGGGAGAGGGTTGACCCCAACTGAGATCCCTGGCACCACAAAGGCCAGAAGAGCACATTTCTAGGGAAATGGGAAGGAAGAGGCCTTGAAGAAACTGAGAAGCATTAGAAAGACAAGATGGAGAAGCAGAGTTTGAGAAAAAAAAAGAAAAACCAAGAAAGGGGAGAGAAAATTTGTAGAGTTTGGACAGAAGAAAAATACAGACAGAAGATTGAGCAGAGGCAGACAGTTGTCAGCAGAGCCCCAAAAATAAGTGAAGCACAAATAGGTGAGCTAGGCTAAGAGTGACATGGGAAGGAGATATGGCAGGAAGAGCAAAGCAAGAAAGGAAGGTTTAAAGTGATGCTGAAAGCTTTGCTTTCTGATGTCACACTGGCATTTGAAAGCAGGCAGCCCTGTGTTTGAATACCTTTCCCCTACTGCATCTGCTGTGCCAGCACAAACACAGTGTGGGGGCAGCTGTGTTACCATTATGGCCCATGACTGAGCCATCCACACCCACTCCAGAGCGCTGCATGGGCTACACTGACTCCATAGGCTGGAGGGTGAAACAATTGCTTCCATCAGTGCAGCTCAGCAGACAGGTCCCAGGCCACCTCTTACACCCAGTACCTTAAAACATGGGCTAAAGTGGTCTGATAGCACCACTGCAGGCATCTTCCACTGCTACCTGCAGTACCTGTGACACCCCAGTCAGGGCTGAGTGATAAAGCAAGAAATGAGCCCATACTGCTTCCTTCCAAATTGCAGACTTGGGAACCTGCTCTTTGCAATAGCCCTGTCTATTGTGCCTGGGGACCAACACGAGTGGGAAAGTTTATTCCAGAAAACAGTCTGCAGGTTCTCGCCATGCAGATTCAGGAACTTCAGAACATGCAAGTCATCATATGCTTTACATTCCTTGTCTGCAAGCTCCCCACTCCTCACACTCAGTCTGCACTGCTGCCTTGCAAAGAAACATTCCTTTTACTGCACCACCTCCTTGGAGCAGGAGGCAGTATGATGCCTGAACTCTGATGGGCAAGATGCTGGCAGCATCTGGTGTCTTTGTCACCACACTGGAAAGAGCAAAGGTAGATGTGGGCAGTGTCCGAGGCACATCTCTCACCTCGCGTATGTTCCGGGATCCTGACTCCCTGAAGGAAGGTTTGCAGCGGAAATTTATCTGTAGATTGAACACACATGAGAGGAATCAGTAAAACCATCATACCTCAAGGCAACCTACTGGAATTTACTGTACTACAGCAAGGCCCAGAACTTCTAGAGCTGTTTGGTACTTGCTGCAAACCCCTCGCATATCTCCGTTACTGAACAAAATGGGGCCAAGGGTCCCAGTCATGTCACTCCTTTTGGTACTGTCTCCTCAGAAGACCCCTCTTTGCAATTACACACTGCAGTTCCCCAATCTTCTTGTGTTTTATTGCCAAAAAGGAAGGGCTGTTACAGTTTTCTGAGCTGCAGAGAGGGTTCAACAGGCTCTACTCACTTTCTCCAGCTGTTCGATGCAGGGTGTATGCACTACAATCTTGCAGGCTGCACACTTACGCCTGGAGAGCGGTTTTTGCTGCAGGATAAGAAAAGGGGAAGAAAAACATGCATGTGAGTGAAAACACGCAGTGTTCTGAGGCTGTCAAACTCAGCCTCCCATCATACCTCCTTCATATATTTTGGGATACAGAACATGCCCCATAGTAAAGTTAGACACAGCCTAGACTCCTTGCAAGTGAAGGGATCTAAGCATGTGCCTACAGCAGATGCTCTCAGGCCTGGCACAGAACAGAGAGGTATTTTCCCCACTGTCCTGTCCTGCAGTTCTTGGCCTCTTCTGACACTGCCTGAGAGCACCATGGCAGCTGGTCTGGGAGGCACCTGCAGGGCTTCCCCAGTAAATCCCATGAGCAGGCACCCTCATATCACTGCTCCATCCTACATCATAAGTAGGACTGAACCTGCAAGCTGGGAGGGAGGACTGCAGCAACTCTGTAAGAACAGTGCTGCCTGCAGGGGCCTGGGTCTCCAGCACACATTTTTCTCCTCCATTGAAAGGTCTTGGATTCAGATTATCCTTATAAGGGTGTGGGATCCTAACACCCTCTCCCTGGAATACTCTGGACAAGTGGCAGCCCTGCATCAAGTTCCTATTGCAAACTGAGCACCAGCACTGGCAGAAACTACAGTCTCAGCCCTCCAGTGTGCAGAGGCAGGAGGGACACACTCCCTGCCTTGGCAGCTCCCCAGACCTCTGCATGTCCCCCAGCAGCAGCAGGGGGGACTCCCTTGTCACTCATCACGTGACAGCCCAGCCTGCATCTTCAGCCTTTACCGGGGAGGTGGGTGATCCCAGGTGACTCACCAACAGCTTTGCCATGCAGTTCTGCTCCCCAACATAGCAGAAGTCCCCAGAGACACTGGTCTCAAACCAGATGTGCTCCCCATATATCGCAGTCTCCTGAAAGGCACAAGACAACACATTTCTCTGAGAGCACCCCCAGACAGGTAACCGAGCCCCTAAAATGCTTTATGCAAGGGACAAGATACTAGACAATGCTAGGGGGTAGGAGGTATGCTAGGTTGGAGCTAGGGGTAGGCCAGGAGACAAGATGCACACAACAGAGAGGGACAACATTTGGACAGAGGAAACCTCACAAAGCTGCTGCCATGGCCAATCTGTCGGAAATGAGAGGGTCCCAGGAAACTAACTCTTACATCCCAGTTGCAGTGTCCTGCACAGGGGAGCTGATTCATCACCCCCTGAGAGGAGGCATCGGGACAAATTCAGTGCAGGGGACTCTCCTGAACCAGCTTCTGTTCTACAACGTCAGGATGCAGCTTAAAGCCTGCCAGGCTTTGCCTGTAAAGGAGCAGAGACTTGCTCCTTGTTGCTTGGCCCCAGCCACCAGATCTCAGCTGTCAGAAGCAGAAGAACTGGCAGTGGAGTAATTATGTCATACTTCCAGGAACCACTTGTGTCTGCACAGCTTCTCCTTGCAGCATCAAGCAGTGCTGCCAGCAGCACAGACATTGGCACCAGCTGGTGGCAATGGCAGAGGCCATAAATGTGTCAAAGTCAGTCACCTGGGAAGCCTCAACCTGGGAAGAGCCTTCTGCTTCTTGGCTGGGAGCCTATTCCATGCAATGCCCAGCAAAACGAGTTACAACTTACGCTCCAGTCCACAGTGCTGCGTATCTGCCTCTCCGAGTCGCTCCTCAGGGCTAGTGCAGGGTTTGGCTGGGCTATCATGTGCTGGAGGCTGGATTTGGCAATAGCTTTCCTGGAAGACACAGTGAGGCTGGCTATTAAATCAAGGTAGGAGGAATAACAATCTGCTTCTAAGATGCAATGTCAGGCTGGAGCAGACAAGCTTCCTCAAGACCAGGTAGCTGGAAATGAGGCGCATCTCGAGCACAGCTGGCTGAGCAGTGCCTGTTCCTATGAGACAGCTCTGTGGGATGAAGAGGTGCTGCCCACATTGCTGACAGCTCAGCTAAAGACACCTTGTACCCAGCAAAAGCACAGCCTGGGCCTGCTGGGTCAATGTCCTTGGGGATGACAGTTCCATTGCAAAACATCCTGGAAATCTCCAACAAGCTGTGGTGGTAAGGCTGCCTTTGCAGGGACAATCCAGAGCCCCTGGCCCACAGACGCTCCTTGCAGCTCTCCCATACTAAGGCACATCAGAGCTTGGGGTTCTTGCAGGGACCAGCACAACCAGTTAGAATAAAAGCCGCTGTCTGTTTGGGGCTAGCGAGCTTCTCCCAGATGTGCTAGGGTGGAGGAAAGGAGCAGGTGATCCAGCCAGCAGGAGAAAGTGTGCACCTCCAGCCCACAACCAGGCCTGCCATCTCCCTGTGGCCCCAGTCTGGCAGGAGAGGACAACTGCAAACTCCAGGGGCTGCACTGAAAGCATCAGCAGCAGCACTGGCCCGAGTGGAAGATGCTCAAGGTATGCCAGCAGCACTGCAAAACACCAATGGTAACCAGGGCCAAAGGCACCGAGTCCCTTCCCTCCTTCCCCACCAAGCCTGAGTCTGCATCCAATTTCTCCCCTCCCCAAGGCACTGATTGCCCACTTGCATGCTGTCACCATACATACAGCAACCGGGGGCTCCAGCCATCCGGGGCAGCGTGGCAGGTGGACTCCGGTCCCAAGCCCTCGGGGAAGGTGGCAGAGGGGCACCCGGCTCTGGCCACCCCTGCACAGTGTTGGGCCAGCAGCCGTGGGTGGCTGGAGGGGAGCAGCCCAGGTCGGAGGGGATCACTGGAGCGCTGGCGCTGGCTGAGGCGGCGGTAGCGGCCTGGCAGGCCATAGGCAGCCCGGCTGTACACAACCTCGGTGGGCAGGTGGTGGGAGGAGGAGCGCCGCAGGCAGCGGGGGCCCCATGACAGCAGTCCCCCCTGGAGTGGCCGCAGCTGGGGCAGCATGGCCAGCCATGTCTCCTCAGCCCAACGCTCATGCTGGCCCTGCTCAGCTTCTGCTGCTGTGCCACCATCCTCCAGAGACTCGGATGCGGAGATGTCTGCATGGGGAGCCCTGTTCCCCTCCTCTCTCATGGGAACGAGGCTGGCCAGGAGGACAGAGGGACCCAGCAGTTGGGCATCAATGTCTTGTGCCTGGCCCCCACGCTTCGCCTGCACAGCAAACCTGGGGCTGAGGCAGGGCGGTGTGGTGCTGGAGCGTCGGCGGGTGCCAGGACGCCGGACCAGGCCCAGGCAGGAGAGGGATGCCTCTGGAGTGCCTGAGCCGCGGCGGCGCTGGGCCAGCACGGTGGAAGGCAGCCCCACCTGGGAGCGACGCCTGGCCTTGCCCGTGGGCACGGCCACCACGCTGGTGTGCCGCAGCCTCTTCCGTCCAAAGTGCCGCCTAAAAAAGGTTTCCATTGCAACTGGATGGTGGCTGTTCAAAGAGACCAGGAATTAAGCAGGCTCCCCCATAGGTCCCCAGGCCAGGCTGTGGGGGTCAGGGCAAGGAGTCAGGAGAAAGCAGGGAACAGAGGGCTGAAGCGAGGAGTGGGGGACATGGCAATGCCTCCTGGGGCATGTGGCAGGGTCCTGCTCCCCACAGGTCTACTGCTCCCTGAGTTTCACTGCTCAGCCCAGGGGGCTGCGATGGCAGGGCAAGTGTTCCCACCTAACTGGAACCCTGCTCTCTACTGTGGGATCAGTAGAGACCCTGCACCCCAAGGTGCCAATGAGCCCTGGCACTTCAACTACCCCCACTGCTTTCCTGATGCTGGTCCATCTGGTTTCCCCACAGGAACCACTCTGGCTAAGCACCAGTCCCACCAAATTTGCAGCAAATTGAAATTAAGCCCTTGTGAATCCTACAGAAGAAAATGAACCAGGCAAGTAAAAGCAGTGCAGGTAGATTTGGTACATCTGGCTAGCTCCGGTGCTCCCCTCTTCCAGAGCTAGTGCTTTGCTTCCCACCTTCTGGCTGCCACCTCTCTTCAACTGGTAGAGAGGATTTATTCAAGGCCAATTCAAAAAAACCCCACAGTTTGGTAGAAGCAAACTTCTGGCTCTTCAGCTGCTCCCAAGGCAGGGGACTCTGGATCATGGCAGCCTGCAAGCACACATAAGCCACCACCACCACTCTCAAGGATTTCAGTTCTGTACAAGGCATCTCCTGTACCCACCACAGGGTATGGGTGTGCTGCTCACCACTATGCTAAGACTGACATCTGCTCCACTTGCTTCTATCTTCCTTCCTTCTTATGCTCTTTTACACACTCACTTGCAGGTCAGCAATACCAGAGGATCTTCAGGAGAACACCCTGGCCCAAACTTTTAAAGTCCCAAGGCCCACACAAAGAGGCAACCTTGTCAGAAGCTTCTTCCCTTTTTATTTGGGAAATGCTGTAAGATGGGACATATTTTATTTTCTGGACAAACTAGAGTTTTTGATAGTGCTTGTAGCACTAGGGGCCGTACATTTTTTTTTTTTTAAATGAGTACAAAGCTGACTTTATATTTTTGGAAAAGACCAGGCTTGGTTTGGATTCCTCCAGCCTGGTGGGCAAGGAAATCAGCTCTTTAGTTTGTACAGTCTCATCACCATGCCTGTACTCAGTAATGTAGCACAAAGAGAGAAGGAAGGAAGGACAGTGACGGCCTCCAGAGAGCAGCATCAGGGCAGCTAAAGCCTGGCTGAACTGAAAGCAAAACCAAAGTGTCACCTCTTCAGAAGTATTTCTCAAGTCCCACCACTGCAAGCAATGCAGGCAGGCACTTGGTCACCAGAAGGTTCAATCCACTGAGGCCCATGCAGCTTTGCAGAGGGCAAAAGCACATTTTGCTGATGACTCTGATTCCAGTCTGTCCCCAACACTGTAGTGCTTCATTCCTGTCCGCTGCCCCCATTGTCTGCAAGACGATGCACAGTAAATTGCATAGAATCTAAGAATCCAGACTTCCCCCGTACAACTTGAGGCCATTTCCTCTTGTTCTATCACTTGTTACCTGGGAGAAGAGACAGACCCCACACGTTGTTACAACCTCCTTTCAGGTAGCTGTAGAGAGCAATAAGGTCTCCCCTGAGCCTCCTTTTCCCCATGCTAAACAACCCCAGCTCCTTCAGCCGCTCTTCCTACGGTTTGTCTTCTAGACCCTTCGTCAGCTTCATTACCTTTCTCTGGACATGCTCCAGCACCTCAATGTCCTTCTTGCAGTGAGGAGCCAAAAACTGGACACAGGATTTGAGGCGCTGCCTCACCAGTGCTGCAGCATACAGGGAGACAATCACTTCCTTAGTCCTGCTGGCCACACTGTTTCTGATACAGGTTAGGATGTAGTTGGCCCTCTTGGCCACCTAGGCACACTGCTGGCTCATGTTCAGCAGGCTGTCGACCAGCATCATTACCAACAGGTGTTAAAAATTGTCTGAACAAATAAAACATTAAAAAATGCAAGTGAGAATGCTGCTTGGATGTGGCACACTGCAACAGATCCTTTTTGGCTGGCTTTAGCTGCTGGGGGAGACATAGTGACCAACTGCACCCCAAATAAGCTGAACGGCTGCTCCCTCCTGTCCCAGATACTCCACCAGCATCAAGCTGCTGTGGGCAGGAAGATCTCTCAACACAGCTTCCTTCCTTTTTGCACCACAGTCTCGTGAGGAAATCTGCTAAAACAACCTTGGCTTGACATTTATGTTTGAGTACTAGCTGATTACCAGCCTTTTTATCTTCAGGGCTGTCTGTAAGTGGCACACAGCCTCAAGCTCCAACCACCAATGGTGAAGGTTATTACAAGACAACCTTCTGACAGCCCATGACAGCAGGACACGGCAGCTCAGATACGTTGGGTGAACATATCCCCACCTCTTGCATCTTATTTCCAACCTGAGCTCCAAATGGTGTACTGCAGGTGTTGAGAGCTGCTGCTGGCAGAGCAGATGGACAGACTGCCAGGGGTGCTCAGGGTTGATATGCATCAGCAGAGCTGCATGCAGAACAGCCAGGGAACCACACACTGGGCGGAGAGGAGCCTGAGAGGAGCTAAGCCCTGGAAGCCCCTGGCCTAACAGCAGCACACTTCTGGGATCTGCACTTTTTGCCACTGAGAAAAAGATGGAGAAGAGCCAGCACCTGTGGCTGCTCTGCAGACTGCATTGCTCAGCTCAGTTAGGTAAGGAGGTTGAATGGAGGCAGCCTGGCATTTGCAGGGTACAAAGGAAAGGAAGTACTGCTATGTACACTAGGATATCAAATCTACTTATGAGCAGATACGTACTACCATTTCAATCTCCTGTGAATAAGGAAAGAGACAGTAGCTCAGGTCTGCTCATGATTTTCAGTCAGAGCTCTTGGGAGGTGTTTTTTTTTTTTTTGATAACCAGAGCCCTCAAAGTCTCCTACACTCCCAGCCTGGTCTCAGTGGGCAGACACACTGCTGAAGCAGGAACATGTCCTAGCAGGGTCTAAATGCCCTTGGAAAGTACAGCAGGGATTGAAGAGGAAAAACTCGCATCTTGTAACTTCAGTGGACACGGAGCTCATGGATCAGCTGATTCAGAGACATCTCTCCAGACATCCAGCAGCCATCCCTCATGTGGTGGTGGTAGTCCTAAAATCAGACAGGCTGACTCCCAGGGCTAAACATGCAGTGTCCATCATGGTATAACCTCTTGCCTCCATCAGGAGGAGTACCTGGATATTCAGCTCCATTATTCTGCTTTGCTTCACTAGCCTCAAGCAAACTCCCATATACTAAACTGAACAGGCCCTCTGTGCCCTTAGGTACATAGAGCGATCTTGTGCCATAAGCCCGCTT